AAAAAAAGACAGAACACTACAACTATGCATGAATTACAGACAGTTGAACAGCATACAGTCAAGAACTGCTACTCAATACCCACTGACTGAGAAAGTGCAAGACAGATTGAGAGGAGTAAAATGGTTTACTCTAATTGACATCAAAGAAGCATATCATCAAATGCAGATCAAGAAAGATGATGAATGAAAAACAGCTTTCAGAATGAGATATGGACTGTATAAATACAATATCATATCATTTGGACTAATTAATGCACTGGCAACATTTCAAGTGCTCATCAACAACATATTATGAGAATACTTGAATGACTTCATCATTGTGTATCTCAACAATGTGGTCATATTTACCAAAGGAAACTGAAAGGATCACACTGAAAAAGTCAAGAAGATATTAAAGAGACTACAAGAATACAATCTATCAGTAAAGTTAAAAAGTGTGACTTCTTCAAGAAAGAAATCAGATACCTCAGACACATTATAACAACAGAAGAAGTATAAATGGAATCAGAAAAGATTGATGATGTACTGCAATGGTCAACATCAAAAACCATCAAAGAAGTACAAATGTTGCACAGACTAGCAAACTACTATCAATAATTTATACATGAATTCTTGAAGAAAGCAAGACCACTTACACAGCTGTTCAAGAAAGATAAATCATTTGAATGAACAAATGAGTGTCAGAAGGCATTTGAAATAATAAAAGACAAGTTCAGAAAAGAAGAAATGAGACAACACTATAATCTGATCAAGAAATGTGTGATTAATATAGATGCATCAGATTGTGCAATAGCAGAAAGATTGCAACAACCAGATGAACAGAGAAGACTAAGATTGGTTGTGTGCTATGTAAGAACAATGACACCAGCAGAGCAGAATTATGACATTCATGACAAGAAATGACTTGCAATAGTGGCATCATTAAAAAAATGGAAGATTGAACTGCAAGAAAACAAACATCAAACAGAAGTCATCTCAGACCACAACAATCTACAATACTTTATAATGACAAAAAAGCTCATGAGATGACAAGCAAGATGGTAAACAGATGTACTAGTGCATCACAATTTCAGAATATGACACTGCAAGAGAGCTGAAAATGCATGAACTGATGCATTAAGTCAAAGACTGAACTTGATGAAGAAGAAAAGAGATTCATGAGCACTCTTCAAAAAGTTAGAAGAAATAAAGAATATGATTCTGAATCAACAAGTCCTAAGAGCAACAAGAATCAAAGCAGAGAAATCAAACATCAAAAGAAAAATCAAGAAAGTCACAGTGGAAGATGAGTATGCAAGCAAGATTGATGATGAAAACAAGAACTTCAAAAAAGAAGATGGAATGATACTATATCATGGACTGATATATGTATCAAGAAAAATCAGAAAAGAAGTGATGATACAAGAACATGACACAGTCACTTCAGAACACTTTGGTATTGACAAAACAATAAAGAAAATTACAAGAATGTACTATTAATCAGAAATATGGGGTGGACATTCAACAACATGTCAAAAAATGTGGAGACATGTGGCATGGAAGCAAAATCAACAAGCAATGACCACATGAAAAACTACAGCCAATACCACAACTATGAGAACCATAAAAGTCTATAACAATGAATTTTATCATGAAACTCCTGAAATCAAAGAATATGGACAGAAAGAAGTATGATGCAATACTAGACATCACTGACAGACTAACAAAAGATGAATACTTTATACCATTTGAAGAAGCAACAGATGCACCAGAAACAGCACAAATGGTACTAAAGACAGTGATCATCAATCATGAATTGTCAGAAGAAATAATTACAGACAGAAATATAAGATTCATGAGCAAGTTCTGGATGACATTAATGACACTACTAGAGATTGAACAAAATGTGTCAACAGCTGATCACCCACAGACAGATGGTCAAACAGAATGATTAAATCAGACTTTGGAACAATATCTATGAGAATATGTGAACTATCAACAGAACAACTGGATTGAACTGCTACCAATGGCACAACTAGCATACAATGAATCAAAAAATGCTATTATAGGATTGACACCATTCTATATGAATTATGGCAGGAAATCAGAAATATAACAACAATTAAGAATTGCACAACAGAGAGCCCAAGAAGCAGAGCTCACTGTAATACAACTGAAAAAATTGCAAGACCACATGAAGATGAACATTGAATTCTTATAAGAAAGAATGAAATTCTACTATAATCAGAAGCATCAGAAGACATCTATCTTAAAGAAGAGGAAGAAAGTATTTCTACTTTAATGAAACATCAAGACAAAAAGATCTAACAAGAAACTTGATTTCAAGAAACTGGAACCATACAAAATTGAAAAGCAGATTGAAAAGATCAATTACAGACTATGGCTATTAAAGAAGATGAGAATATACCCTGTATTTCATGTTTCATTACTGGAAAAAGCACTGCTACATGCTAAAGAAATGTCCATGGAAATTGATGATGAACAAGAATATGAAGTGGAACAAATACTAGACCACCAGATGATCAGTGGAAAACTTCACTACTTAATGAAATGAAAAAAGTATGATATCTCAGAAAACACCTAGGAACCAGCAAAGAATCTTATGAATGTCTGAAAGATTGTTGAGATGTATCATTAATGACACTCTCATTCAAAAGAGCATTAATGAACAAAAAGAGGAATTCAGAAAGCAATTTCAACAGAGAAAGATTATCTAATGTAGCAAGATGTTGTTGGATTTTCACTTGCTCACCCACTCTCTTCTGTTCTTTCTCCTCAAGACACTCCAACTCCACAATTGTCTGAACTTTAGATTCAAGAAATTTACCAGCATGAGACTCTAGAAACTCCTGTTTGCATTTCAAATGATCAATTTTGGCAAACAGAAAGAGATTGAGGACTGTGCAGCATGAATTTCAGTGTGGTACAGACTCATCAGCTTTTAATTTAGCACAGGTGGAACACAGCTTGGTTCAATCTCAATCAGAAGACTTGTGATCCATAACACAACAACAACCAAGTCAACAACATTTGGAGCACTTTATTGATTTATTGAAATGAACACACTCTTTATCATGATGAGAACAGTAAACACAGCAAGAAGACATCATGACACCAATTTCTCCAATTTCAGAAGCTAGATGCTTGTTATTGTGGAAAGACTTCAAAGCCATGGCAACAGAGCCATGAGGACATTCACTTACAAGAAGAAAATTGTTTTGAAGACAAGACAAGAAGACAATCACTCTTTATACTCAAGAGGGAGCACAAGCAGTTGAGAACAACACACTAAGAAAGAAGAGGATGATGTTATAAACCTTGCAGAACAGCACAGAACCATCACATGTCATTGAAAGAGTATATGAAGAATGCAACTGGGAAGTGGAGCATGATGAGGCTACAAGAGTTATGGACTGGAAGAACTAGAATCTGGAAAGGTGAAAGTCACATGACTAGATAGTCAGAATAGTAGTGACTATCTCAACTGACAGATAGCTGGATAGTCAGAATAGTTACAACTATCCCAACTAGTGAACAGGAGGATAGGAGTGACTACTCAGACTATTTACAATACTCATTATGTATATAAGAACACTCTTTACCATTGATCAGATGGATTCATTCATTGTGATCAATTCTCTTTATGATTCTCTCTATAGATTTATCTATACAGATACTATCATATCTTGATTACTTTCTATATCATTAAAGTTCTGTGATACTGTATGATTGTATCTGCTCTCACTACTCTTGAGAAAGCACAATAATCTTGACCCAACTCTTACATACCTGCATGGAAACCCTTTGCCATTAAGCAAGTCTACTGACTTGAGATTGAGCACCATTGAAGTATTGATCACTAAAACCCCAATTTGTTACATTGGACAACAAGTTTGATAACAAAGTGTAATTGCTCATACAAACAAAAGACATCTGCAGAGATTCAGAAGTTGGAACTCAATAATGAAGACAATCAGTTGAAAAAAGAGCAAGTCTAGAAGAAGTCTTCATTCTGGACAGAAAAGTATCATTAAAGAAGCTGAATTTAAGCAACTTAATAGAAGAACAGTCATTTCTTGTATGTAGTAAATTAGCATTGAATGAAGTTGTGATTTCAATCAATTTTCTCATCAATACTAAAGTGAACAGTTTGATTTTTATTAACACATAATTAGTGGTGAATGTGATCCAAATCTATAATGAAAATACCCACTGATTATCAGACGTGTGCAGTATCAGATGCTTTGATGAGAATACTGAATCACTCATCACTCATCTTGTCTTCTTTCACCTGTGGTTGGACAGTTGTCAATTTGAGAATGTTTCTATGCTGATTGCTAATTTGGGACAATATCTCTTGATTATTAAACAGAAATAACTGACAGAGCATAATGTCTGCTTAAATATGACTGATTGAAAATTTCCCTGACTGAAGAAGTCTTCAGCAAAGAATGCTGTACTGCCAGTAATACTGAAGTTAGTATCACAGAAGATCTACAATACTCAAATCAGATCTACAGCACTAAGAAGAAGTAACCATCAAGATAAATTAATAGAACTTGAGATCACACATGAGTGACAAAACCATCAGAAAGAACACAGACAAATGAAGAAGAATTCTGCTCATGAGACTCACATTTTAGATTAATTAAAAGTATCTCAAGAAATATTGAAACAGCAAAACAATCAGTGTCTTCATTAATGCAAGATGATAGATATAACATTTATTGATGCAGCAGCATATCATCAACACATGAGAAAGACATTCAATAGCTGTCATGTGATCTCACTTCAGAAAATTGAGAGACTAATAGATGAAAAGCAGAAAGACATCAATAAAGTGAATGAAGATGATGAGAAGACTAATAATTATGAAAAACTTCTAAAAATTTATGAACAATTTCAGAATGGGTTCTCAAAGAAGATTTCAGATCAGTTGTTACTGCACTGTAAGAGAGTGAACTACAAGATTAATCTTCTATCTGAAGCAGATCTGAACAGAGACATAAATTTAGCACCACTATACAAAATAAGTATGAAAGAACTGAAAACAGTCAAGAAGTACTTAAAGACAAATCTTAAAAAAGAGTTCATCATATCAACAACTGCACTCTTTGCATTATCAATTCTCATCACATATAATAAAGCAAAACTGTGCTTCTGTGTTGACTTCTGCAAGTTGAATGCAATCTTAAAATAGAATTAATATCTCCTCTTCTTGATTGATGAGCTGATGAATTAACTGAATGAAGCAAAGTATTTCATCAAGCTCAACATCTGCCAAGAATTCCACAGAATCCATATGAGTGAGAATTCAGAGAACTTGATCAGTTTCTGAACATGATATGAATTGTTCAAATATCATGTGATTTCATTTGAACTCACAAATGAATCCAGAGTCTCTTAGTGATACATCAATTCAACTTTCTTTAATTGTCTGAATGATTTCATGACAGAATTTGTGGATGACCTGTTGATTTAAAGCAAGACCAAGAAAAAGGATAAGAAGCAGATGAAAAAGATTTTGCAATAATTGGGAGAAGCAGAACTACAGATCAGTATTAATAAGAGTGAATTCAGTGTGCAATGCACAAAATATCTAGATTTCATTATCATTACAAAAGACATTGAAATGAATTCAGAAAAGACAGCTGTTATCATCAAGTGAATTGAATAATTAACAGTTCAGAGAGTATTATCATTCTTGAGATTCTGCAATTTCTACTGCTGTTTTTTAAAATCTTATGATCATATAGTCAAATCTCTTTACTGACTCATCAAGAAGAACCAGTCTTTTGTTTCAAGCAGTGATTGTCAGACAGTCATCAACAAGCTGAAAAAATTACTTATCAGTGCTTCAGTACTGCACCACTATAACTCAAATCAGAAAACAAGAATTGAGACTAATGCATCAGATGAGAAAATTACTGGAGTTTTATCATAACAGTTTAAGAATAAAAACTGACATCTGATGACATTTTGCTCTTCTTCAATAAGCACATCAGAAAGAAATTATGAAATACATGACAAGAAGATGTTAGTGATGGTGCATGCTCTGACAGAATGATGAGCTCAACTGAAAGAACTATAGTGAAAAGAAAGATTCCAAATTCTTACAGATCACTGAGTGTTAGAGTATTTCATAATAATCAAGAAGCTGAATGTCAGACAGATCTGATGAGCTGAATTTCTTTCATATTTTTATTTTAAGATCAAGTATTAATCAGACAAGAAAAACACACTGACAGATGTTCTCAGTCAGTCTGAGACAAGAGTTGAGATAGACAAGCTAAGAACACAGATTCTGCTTAAACTGAAATGCTTGAACTCAAGAATCAGAACTGAACTGAAGAGCAAGCAGTCAAGAAATGCAGTGCAGACAACAGAGAAGTCAGAAACTGCAGCACAGCTGAATGCAATTGAAGAAACAGATCAAGCAGCTGTTGATCAAATTATTGTGATCAATCAAACCACAGAAT